GGGGGGGGGGGGTAAAATGGTCGACGTTCAACTTATGAGTTGCTATTTCCTTTGGGATACCTAGCATGTCTGCATGGGAAAAAGTGAACAAGTCCACATTATTTTGTAAGAATTGATGAAATTTACTTGGATCTTGGAGTTTATGGCCGATGAAAGCTTTCTTTCTGGGGTTGTTGTCTTTTGTTTCCTCACTATCTGACCCCATATTTGTTAGTTTCTATACTTCCTTGGCTTTTTCTTTCAACTGTTGGGTGTATGTGCAATCTTGGGCGATGTGGTAGTATTCTCGGGTTGTGCGTTGCTCTCCCCGGATGCTGAATACTCCCCAGGGGATGGGAAATTTAATGAATATGTATAAACTAGAAGGGATGACTTTCATGCCGTGTATCCATGGTCGGCCTATGATGGCATTGTACGTCGTATCCTGGTCCATGATGTGGAACGTGGTCTTCAAGGTGACGCCGTCGGCCAGGACATGCAGCGTGATTTCTCCAGATGTCTGCTCAATTGCATTGATAAAACCTGTTAGCGTGATGCAACATGGCACTATTCTGTCCTCGAGCTTCATTTGGTTGAGAACTCGAGGATGGATGATGCACGCTCCACTTCCATCATCTACCATGATATGTCTTACATCGGTATCAAAAACACGTAAGGTAATGACAAGGGCATCGTAGTGAGGAAAGACCAAACCATGGGTATCCGACTTATCGAAGATGATACTTTCTCCGAGTTTGTCATACCATTCGTGGGTGATTGACCGCTTGAGCTTGTGAGTGGTGGTGAACTTCACGTTGTTGATAGATGTATTGTCACCTTCCCCGATGATCATTTGAATGGTCCGAACTAGGGAAGGTGGTTTGGGCGGCCCCTGATATTGTTCTTGCCCATGTGCGAAGTTGGCCCTTCCTTGATCGCTCATCAATTCTTTTATGTGCCCTTGGTGAAACATGTTCACGATCTCTTGTCTGATGGCGATAAAGTCCTCAGTTTTGTGACCTCGTTCCTAGTGGAATTCGCAGAGGCATTTGATTTTCTGGTGCTCGGGTCGGACGTCATTTTCTGCAGCTATTTTACCTTTGGGCTGAGCTTTTCTAATGCATAGACTATTTCTGAAGGGGAAACACAAAAATTGTGAGTTGATAACAAGGGGGACATATCTCTTTCATTTCGGTGGGTTCCCGTTCGCGGTCTGGATGGACCTTTGTCGTGACGTGGAGGTGGCATGAGGGTGCCTCTGACGTAAGGCTGATGTCATTCTCAATTAGGTCGTGACCCTTCTAGATCTCTTCTAATGTCGTTTATTTGGTCTTTCCTGGACTCCATTTGGACCGAAGACAGGCGTTGAGTAGGCCCGTTGAGATCATCCTCGTCTGCTCTTACCTCGGCACAGTAGGCATTGTGTATCTCATCCCAAATGGTTGGAGGGTATTTCATTTATCGGCTTAACAGTTTATTGGTCGCCCTCAACCCACTTTTGCTCAGCCCATTCTGAAAAGCGGCCACCGCCATTCCTTCAGATACATTCGAAAGGGTCATTCTTACACGGTTGAACCCGGCGAAGAAATCCATGAGTCCCTCGCCAAGAGATTGCTTGATGGCGAATATATTGTTCACTCTTGCCTCCACTTTCTTGGCCCCGGCATGGGCGGTGACGAACTTGTCGTCCATTTCTAAAATGTTTCTATGGATCATGCAGGTAACTGCGAGTACCAACTCAAGGCCCTACCAGTTAGGGTCTCTCCGAACTTCTTCAGCAACATGGACGATACTTGTTCCTTTGCAAGGTCGTTGCATTTCACTGCAGTAACATAATGGGTCACATGATCCTCCGGGTCTATCGTGCCGTCATATATTTTCAAATATGGCGGCATTTTGAAAGTTTTTGGTATAGCATGTGGTGCAACCTCATCGCTATATGGTTCTTCCATGAACTGACCGGCGTCCCGTTTTGGTAGGAGTTTTGGGGCACCCGATATCTTTTCTACCCTTTCTTGATGCTCCCTCATTTGGTCGTGGATTTCTTTATTCTCGTTCTCCATCTCTTCAATTTTTCTAAAAATGGCAGTGAGGGCGTCGTTACCTGTATCATTAACAGGGGAGTGGTACCTGTTGTGGGAGGTTGGGTGTGTTTCTCATTGGTCGTTGTGGTGATGTTGACTCGCACACTTTCTTTGCTCTCCCTTTGAGCGGGTTTGTCTAGTATGTTGTTCAGTGTATTCGTTAGCCATGTTTCAAGTAGCTTTTTTATCGCTGGTGGTGCTTCTTCCGTAGTGGATGTAGAGGCTCCCTTTCCATAGAAGCGGTAATGCTGCCATGAGGAGGGGTGAATCAATTCACCTGGGTGAGGCGCTTGGTGTCACGTTCTCCTCTCCATGAGCTTCGTCGATAGTGTTTAGGAGATTGGTGTCACACCTCCTTTTTACGCGCCCCGGCCCCGAAGGGTTAAGATGCGCAGGTGGAGTTTTTCCAATTTAAGTGACAATATTCGAAATGGGATTATTTATTTAA